GACAAAAAATAACCTGGCCGTGCGTCTCGAAAAGGACCTCCAATCGGTTGTGAACTGGGGCAGGAATTGGCTGGTCAACTTTAATGCTTCAAAAACAAAACTGCTCTCTGTTAATCACCACAGAGATCCTTCCCTGCCCTCTATTAGAATGTCTGACGCTTAACTTCTCGAAAGCACATCTCTGCAGCTGCTCGGTCTCACGTTAACGGCTGACCTGAGATGGAACAAATACATTGAGTCAATTGGTTCGTCCACAGCAAGAAAAGTTGGCTCCGTGTGCTGCGCCAGGAAATTTTTCTCCCCGGAATCGATCCTCCAGATCTACAAATCAACAATTCGCCCTTGCATGGAGTATTGCTGCCATATATGGTCTGGAGCCCCTTCTGTTTGCCTCGGGGTTCTTGATAGGCTCCAGAGGCGGATATGCAATATAATTGGCCCTGATCTGGCATCTCATCTACAGTCACTTTCTCACAGACGCGCCGTCGCCTCTCTCTGTCTGTTTTACAAATACTTTCATGGCAATTGCTCCGAGGAGCTGCATTCGCTGGTTCCCAGACTTCATGAGTTCAAGCGCCCTACGAGGCTGGCATCCCGCTCTCACCCCTTAACTTTTTAATTGTAGCCGTCTCTTCTACTCCAATAGCTTCATGTCTCGCACCTCTCGCCTGTGGAATTCCCTTCCCTATTCCAGTTTCCCTGAGAGCTATAATCTCCAGTTGCCTTGATCTATCCACTACCCTTCTCCTCATCCTTTCTTCTATCACTCCTATCTGATCTTGCTCCAAATCTTCTGTAACCCCTTGCGTCCTAGTGGCTTCTCGCCTTGCTTGGGGTGAAACGCTTAAAACAAAAAAAAAAGATAAAAGCGACAAAAACGCAAATAGTTACTGAGAGTAAAAGAAATGGAGGGGACAATAAAAAGACAGTCCAGATGACGACTGACATTATATTTTATTTTTTCAATATTGAAAAACGTAGGAAAGCTTAAAGCCAGAAGAGTGCTCCACAAGAGAAAATTGCAAGAAAGGAAACTATTAGCATAGAAATTACGCTTACAAGTCACAAGTTCAACAATAAATGGATAAGACTCAGCTGCTAATCTAGTTACACTTAAATTCGTGAAGCCGATGTCCCTGAGAGGAAAGCTTAGAAAAAAATTACAGCGAAAAATATTTAAAGGAAAACCAAAGTGAAGCTATGTTACGAAGGTGGGGAATGATTGAAGCCGAGATGTTAGGTAAGGACCGATAACATTGCAGATTCTTCTTTAAACCTTGCCAGGAATCTCTAGATATGTGATAGATGCACCAAACCAGTTTTAGTAGCAATATTCTTGCATGGACGAAATGTAGACCTGTAACTGTGCAAGTTGTATAGTACTCAATTAGCGATAAGGTTTCATCATTTTACAGTTGAAATGACTAGGTGGAACCGTAAGTTCTATGCTAACAGTTTCCTCTGCCATACATCTCGCGTGTGGAAATCTCTTCTAGCTTCTTGCATCCCAGTCAACTTTGATGTTCAATAAATTAAATGCAATCCTAAATGCTTCCTTCTTTTTTTTTTTTTTTTATTAATTTTTGTACTTTTATAGTTTTGTATCCTTAATAGTGTTTATTTTTTTAAATAATTTCTAACATGCAGTAAGTAACCTCTTGTGTCTTATTGGCTCTGACTTTCCTAGCAGCTGACTTCGTAATTTCTTCAGTAAAGTCGTTCCGTTACATTTCACTGGTAAAGATAAGTCCATGAAGGCGTAGAGATTAGCATCAACGATACTGATGAGAATCAAACAATGTTTATTTCAGATGATTAATAGAGAAGTTTTGTTTTGAAGCCTTCATGATATGTTAGGTGTCAATTGAAAGATTCTTCGTCGGCTAATTGAGTTATAAAAAAAAGATGATGCTAAATTAGTTATAAAAAAATATCGATTTAATTTCCGGGTATATTTTTAGCATTTTCTGCTCCAATTATTACACAGGAGATGAGTCAAGGAGTAAAAAACTTTTCAACCAGACTGTTTAGCTGTCATGGCGCTATATAAGGTTCAGCTCCTTCAATTTAAAATGGAAGACAAAAATGCATTGGGTTTTTCGAGAATAAGAAGGAAAATTAATTAAAACTTACTTGTTTGGTTTGTTTGACTTTTGCTGTTTACACACACACATACATACATACATACATACATACATATATATATATATATATATATATATATTATATATATATATAATTATTTATTTAAAAAATATGATTCCAACGCGCTAGAGTTCTCATTAGATCCGAAAACTTCAATATAATTATTTGAATTAAATTCCCATTCCATCTTCAAGCAAAATTGTTTTTTGATACCTTATTTCTGAAAACGTGTTTTTTATTCATTTTGAAATAAAAATTTCTATAGTAACGGATAAAAAGGGCGTAAATTGGTAATAATTTGTATCAGCATAAAGTTACATTCACATTAAGTTTGGGTGTCTAAACTTAAGCGGAAGATGATTTCACCTAGTCTACTTTAAGTGTATTTGGAGATTTATTCATTTTTTATTTTTTTTTTTCTGAAAGGGTTTTAAATGTATTTATTGATTTTAAAAAATTAATTGTTTGTTTGTTTTTTTTGAATAACGCATAAAAAACTTCAATGGAAACCCTTTTGAAGTCGTCAAAACAAATGTTAGCGATTTTGACAGTTTTATATACATAAAAGTAAAACCTTTTCAGAAAATATAAAATAAAAAATAAATCTCCATAGACACTTAAACCAGATCCATGAAATCATCTTTTTAAGTTTAACACCACAACTTACCCCTGACTTGACATGCGGAATGTAACTTTTATTTATTTTGTTCACAAATTTTTTAATTTTTAAAATTATAGCTATGAAATTTTGATTTCATTAATGAATATGCTATTAAAACACGTAAATTTCAGAAATAAGTTATTCAAAAAAATTTCACTTGAAGATGGAACAGAGCTTACTTTAATTCAATTTAAATCAAATAATTATACTGAAGTTTTCGGCTCTAGTTTTGAAACATGAGTTGAACTCTTATTTATACTCTACTTTTGTATCGAGCACTATTTTTTAAAAATAATAACAAAAATACTAAAGAACTTTCCTATTTTCTATATATTTTTCACACACACACACACACACACACACACACACACACACACACACACATATATATATATATATATATATATATATGTCCAAATTTTACCAACGTTCAAACCATTAATTTAAAACAGGGCTCAATACAATAGTAGAGAAACAGAACAGATATTCATCATACCCTATTACATTAGAACATATACGTTACTACTACAAACTGGTACATTTTGTTTCGACGTTTAATAAAAAACGTTTTAGTTAGTTAACAATGAGGCTATTACCATCATTCAATTCCATCAGGTAGTTAACAATAACGAAGGTATTAATCTAGATCTTCTCCCCCCAGCTATGGGTTAATTCATAAGAATTCTATACCTAAGCCATTACTATTTCAAAACAAAATTCTTACAATCTAAAAATATTTTCTAGCTTTGAATAACCTGCAAACATTTGAGAAGCCGTAGAAAAGGAATCCATCAATCAACAATCAAAATCAAGGTGGGTATAAAAAAAATACTACCCCCCCCCATATTAAAACGCAGTATATACACTATAGGCTTTTACACAGGTACTCACGAATGCCCTCCACTGGCGGCTGGTAGTTAATATTACCCAACGATACACTAGGTCTTTACTCTGTCTCCCCACTAAGACAAGTTTTGAAACAAGGCCTTTTTTAAGGTGGGGACCCGAGTTCGTACACCCGGGCCAGGAACAAAAATTGCCCGCAGCCCCCGACACGTTCGGTTGCGCTGGCCTTGTTTCGAGCACCGTTCCTTCTCTCTGGTGCAATGAAAAGAAGCGGCCTGACAGCTCTTCCCCAGGGCTGGGCACTTCTCAGTATAATTTTCCTCAGCTGCGACTCTGCCGTTTGACAGGTCAGAGACGCAACTGAATTCCACGATACACGATTCAGCCTCTTTTGTAAAGTTTTATGTAACGCTTTTGTAACCCACAATGGAATAATTTTATTGAATCAGATTTTTATATTCACTTACGTGCAAATAGCTTTGGAAAAAAGTACGAATCCACCTCTTTTCCCCCCAGCTATCGGTTAATTAATATCACTTGTATTACTAAATCATTATTATCTTAAAAAAATTATCCTTATAATCTGAACATATTTTTCTGGTTTTAAATATCATGCAAAGGGTTGATAAGCCGTAAAGAACGAATGACTCAATAGATTGAATATGAGTAAATTATTATGAAATTTAGAGAAGCCATCTTTTAGATAGAACAATGGATACAGTCTTGAAATAAGAAGGCATTAGTCTACTTGTGTGCGTATTCTCCATTGTCTTTCTTTTTAACTTCGTTCTTAGCAACCATGATTCACGACGAAGTATATTTATGAAATCATCCCAAAATGCCTCATAATTTTCCAGTTTCGCTTATTCTTCTTTTTTATGAATCTTCGTTATTTGAATTCTTTTCTTCATTTTTTTACAATATTACACAATCGTGATAGAGTTTCGCTTTTACCGGATTGTTTTTATGCCGAGGCAATCGTAATGAAGTAAGATTAAATAATTTTATAAATTTCCCCTCCTTTTTTTTTTCTTTCCTATTTTGTTTTGTTGTAGCTGGGCTCGCTCGTCCAAATTTGGCTCGAAATTGACTGCGAACAATCGCCTGATTTTAGTAATACAAATAAATAAATAAATAAATAAAAATGAAATAAATAAAGCCACCACAAAATTACTAGAAATAAGAAATCATGGAAGATGCTTTAAAATTCCTAATTTTCTTTACGTGTTTCGAAGGTTTGCATTCTAATCTATTCCGTTTTTCAGTGATTCGTCTTTTGCATTTGAAATTTGTTTTTTCCTCAGAATTATTTCTTCCCTTTGTAATTCATTAACTTTTTTTTTTTTTCATGCCGTTCATCTATTTTTTTTTCTCCGTTCAGCTTTTTCCCGATCGTTTCTTTTTCATTTTTATAAATATTTTCTTCAGGTTTTTCCATTATGTATATTTTGCTGTTGTTTCTGTGATATCTGATACAATATATATATATATATATATATATATATATATATATATATATGTTTTGCATTTTTTCTTTTCATCTATCATTACTTGCTTCCTTCCACTTTTCCTCTCTGCGCGTTCGTTCATTCGCCCGTTCGTTCCGTTTGCCTTAGTTTTCTCAACCGAACTCTCTTCTTTCATTGAGTATTCTTTTGTTTCTTCATATCTTTCTTTCTTCTTTCTTTCAAATCTACCTTACTTCAATACTTGCCTCTTTCAATCATTTCCCTTTTTTCCCTGACTTTTCTTCTTATCTCTTTTTTTTTTTATTGCACCTTCACACTTCCGTTGTTCTCTTTCTTCTCCCTTCACTTCCTTACTTTTTCACTTCCTCCCTTGTTTAATCCCTTCAATTATTGCACCAGTGTGCGTCACATTTACTTCCTCCCAACACAGCATTTCTTTTGATCGATCGTTCGTTCGTTCGTTTGTTCGTTCATTCCTTCCTTCCTTCCTTCCTTCCTTCCTTCCTCATTATTTCTTTTATTCTTCCCTTATTTCTCTTTATTGTTGCACATCCCCTTTTTTACTTTCTTTATTTGTTTTTTTTTGTTGTTTCTTTCTATCTTCACCACTCACATCGTTTTGCCCTTATGAACTTTTACTATGTTTTAATATTTTTCCTATCACCCTCCTTCCCTTCATTCATTTCGATCTTCTTTCCTTCTCTTCTCCTTTTCTATCTTCCTTCTCTGTTCTGTACATCCATTCGACTTCACTTCTGCACGAAATTCTTTTTCATTCACTCTTCTTCTTTCATCCTCTCGTCTTGTTTCCATTTGTCTTTTCATAGATCCACACTCCTCTCTTTCCCTCTAATCTCTCTTTCTTACTACAGTCTTCACACTCTTTGACTTCCTCGTACCTATTGATAATTTAATATTTACCTTCATCTAAGGAACTTTTTATTCTTCATCACTTTATTCGTTTCTGATCCTTCACATGTAAAAAAAAAAACAAAAAACAAGTTCCTGTTTTCTTCATTCATTTCTTTTACCTCTTTGTCAATCTCGTGAGTTTTTTTTTTGTATTCTGCAACTATTTTGGACATCATTCCTGACAATTCTTATAAATCATGTTCCTCAACACAATGCAACTTAAAATAATATTTCCCACTAAAAATACTGGATAAAAAAAAATTAAATAAAAAGCATGAAACGGAAAGAAATAACGATGTCTGCCATCGACACACTTCTCCCCTTTACAGATTATCTTCTACTTCGCAATTTCATAAAAAAGAAATCCACATAGAGTTATTTCATAACCGAACGAGATAATATTAGAAAAAAAAAAATTACAGTGTTCTATGTCCTATTTGGTTTCACTAGATTACACAGACAAATTTACAAGTTATCACAATAGAAAAAAAATACAGGAAGGTACTTATGAAAACTAGCATTGAAATTTTATCCAACATGGCCACTATATTATGTTTATTTTTGGAAATCGTCATAAAACGGCAAAAAAGACAACTCAAGGTGTATGAAACGAGGAAAGCATATAGAAAATGATTTCAATCATAGATGATGCCATTTTCCTCACATATTAGCAAGGATCAAATGCTACAAAAAAAACTTTAAAGGAATAAAAGAAAATGAACACGCAAACGTTGCGACCTTTGGTGTAAATCTTATATTATTGAAATTATAGTTTTTTACCGGTTCTCATAGCTAGTGAATGGAGAACTGCTAGGCAAAAAAAGTGAATAAGTAAAAAAGACAGTTTAAAGAGAGGAGAATTAAAGAGGTGTTGTATGAAGACTACAAAAAGCGTAAAAAAAATATTACGTCTTTTTTTCCATGATGAAAAATGATAGGTAGTTTCAGAAGTTAACAGAAAAAAATTAAAGTTAGTCAGAGATGATTTAAAGACCTTTTTTGAGAAAAGATCCTATAATAATAAATTTATTATGTAAAACATGAAAAATTATTTTGAAAGCAAGGTTGCAGTGCAGGTTTAGTGTATTAACTACTTCCATAATTAATGCATAAAGTATCTTGCTAGAATATTTTACAATACAGTGTAACCCGGATATAAGAGAGTTGTCGGGACCGGAGAAGAAGTCTCTTATATCCAGGTTTCTCTTATATCCGGGTTTGGTCTATTTTATATACATTAACACAGGCTCTAATTTGGGACCAGAGAAAATCTCTCTTATATACGGGTTTCTCTTATATCCGGGTCTCTTATATCCGGGTTACACTGTACTTGAAATAATGTTTGTGAAAAGGTACATGCAAAAAATACCGATTGATTTGCAATGTAAGATAACATTAATTTAACAAAATAACAAAAGGAAAGTTTAAGTATTTCTTTTCCTATATGTAAAATTGGAATACACAACGAAAATTATTGAATGTAACCGAGTGGGATCGGCCTGTTTGTATCGGAAACATCAACAGTCATTTTTGATTCAGTGTCAAAAATCTGTAGGGCACACTTTGAAAGGAACAGGATTAGGATATTTGCCAACCGCCCGACGCGATCAGATGTGGCACACGGCCGAATTTAACGTGGGGTATCCGAGCCCATGGGCTCGGGCAAAAGTTCTCCGTAGACCCCGTAAAAAACGGGGATCGCGTAGCTGTCTACCACCCTAGATGAGACTCTGCCCTTCGGCATAGCCTCGTCTGGGTTCCTCTCTGCCCGAAGGCAGAGAGTTTGACAGTACAACCTAAAAAGATTTCAGCTAGACGGATCAGAATGTTTAGTCACGCCAACACGAGAGTTGCATATGGCACAAGGCCGGTTTAACGTGGGTCCTTGAGCCTGTAGGCTGGGCCAAAAATATTCCCTTTCGAACCCGTATAAAAGGGTGGAGGGGCAGTCTATCTCCCCGAACGCGACTGCCCTTCAGCGGAGCCTCGTCCGGGTTCCTCTCTGCCCGACGTCAGAGAGTTCGACAGTGTAGCTGAAAAAAGATTTCGGCTAGACGAATCAGAGTTACTTTCAGGGTTCGTATTGTTTTTATACTCTCAGGGCTGCTGCTGATACTATGCTTATTAATGGCTGCTGCTGATACTATGCTTATTAATGGCTGCTGCTGATACTATGCTTATTAATGGCTGCTGCTGATACTATGCTTATTAAGGGCTGCTGCTGATACTATGCTTATTAATGGCTGCTGCTGATACTATGCTTATTAAGGGCTGCTGCTGATACTATGCTTATTAAGGGCTACTGCTGATACTATGCTTCTTAAGGTAATACACGTGTGTTAGTATAAAATTTGACAAAAGTTATACATATTTAGTTTTTAAGCACATAGAGAGGAACTTACTAAAATGACAATTTTTTACCAAGCCCCGTTTATCTGATAATTCGTACTCCACAATCAGAGGAAGAGTAACGGGTTGGAACATGTCAGACATGTTTATTTATTTAAGTAAATATATATCCTGCCAGTTAAAACATGCTAGTCAAGGGACTGTTAGTGTTATCTTGAGTCGTTACGCCTGTGTTTCCTGGGTGCATTCGAAGTGATAAAAATGCTGAGTACCTCTTCTGTATGGTAAAAAGAGTTGATTTCTATACCCAGGAAATAGAAATTGACACCAATGGTTAATAGACGTGATGTATTCGGATGTCGATTTATCTCATAAAAATCTTGAAAAAAAGGCATCCGTAACGTAAATTTACTTTACTGATTACATAATAAAAAAAACATATACGCTTGTAAGAAAATTTGAAACATCGATTTCCATACAATCAACATCGTGACCAGTTGGGAATACCAGGTGCTGTAAGCTCATCGTGCAGGTGGTGCAATGGATAATGACACGGAATTGTTAATCGTAGACCCGAGTTCTAATTCCATTCGGATTCGTTATTTTCACACGCTAGCAAATATTCTTAGGAAATGTATGCATCCACCTCTTCCCCCCACAGCTATGGGTTGATTATTAAGAACTGTATCACCAAAACCATTATTATCTTCAAAATAATAATAATAATAATAATAATGATAATAATAATAATCAATATGAGAAGATCAACATGGGAACATCAACAATCTAGGATTGGTTGGAACAGATTTCAGTAGACTAATTGAAGGGATTCCTGGAAGCCCATGCCTGAAAGAAATACAAAAAAATGTCCACACAAGTACAGCCCACACTTTACGAAGAACTTTATTTATCTATGTAAATCTTCTTTTTTTTTTTGTCAGTGAAAAGTGTCATGATACCATTTCTAACCTTGGGTCTCTGGGCGGGACCCGGAAAGAAATGTGTACACGCCAGAAATCAAAAGAAATAAAGACAATACTACTACTAATAAAATGGTGTTCAAATTTTAAAAAATTCGGTGGTAAAGAACACACAGAGTTAGATATGCTGCTAAACAAAGATAACCAACCAAAATATCGGATTCAGGCTGAGAATACTCTAACAGTCATAAAGTGTGTACTGGTTCCACGATCGGTGTCATTGTTGTCGTGGTAAGTGGAATTAGCGAAGTGGATTTCCAATTCAGAACTTTTCTTTTCCCACACATTCGTACCGAAGACAAGAGCATGTATAAAATAATCGTTTATTTGAGAAGCAAATTATTTGGTAAAACCAAAGGGTCAGGTGTCCACAAGGACAAAGGCGTTGGTTAGATCCAGTGACAGGGCCCAAAGAATGTGAGTTCAATACCCGGTTAAGGCAGTGGAGAACTTGGAGAGGGGAATTAACAGGAGATAACTGATAACTGACATTCATTAAACATTGCACTTGAAACTAGAACAGTCTACCTCAGTGAGCGAAATAAAGGGTTCAGTTCGACATTCCAACCAACTGAAGAAGGCCGGAGCGTCCAACGGCCGAAACGTTGTAATAAATATGGCGACAAAGATGAGGACAATAGTCCGAATAATGGAAATAGTGTACATAATACCACATCTCAGAAATATTGACACATACAGTAAAGCGGTATGTTTAAAATAAAGATCTGCGCTACAATCCAATCTATGTTACGTATATTTTATTGCAATAATTGTCTGGTTTATTATAAGTTATTGCTGCCCATCTGGTAGTGTAGGGGCTATCGGGATAGAAGGTGAAATCAGCGACCCATATACAAATCAGGGCTGGTCTGTTCCGATCACTTTCGATAGAACAAATACCCTTGCCAGAAGCATGAATCTATCTTCCCTTCAAAATCCACAGACAGGGCCTAACTAACAGAGTAGACATCCCCCCTTGATAGCCGCTAATGTAGAAAGACCACTTCTATATTCATACCTGTGGAAAAGGTAACGTAAATCGACGCCCCCTACGTTTAACAAGTCGTGTCAGTTTAAATACAGTAATAGAAGACGACTTCTGTGGAGAGCCATGATCGCCAACGTCCTAAAGGAAAATGACATTAAAAGTCATACTGTTAACTCATGTGAATTCTATTCGTTTGGTCTTATATTAAACCATGATCATTATTATCCACGCTTAGGTTTGGTAAAGAAAAGATTTACACTGAAAATCTCATTATGTGATCAAGACAACGTGTGACCGTTTCAGATTGAAAATACAAGCTTGAAGGAAAACAATCTCGTGCAAAAATATCTTTAGATGAGGACAATATCATCTAAATTGGCTTATCAAGTTCAGATTTACTGGAACACATTCTTAAGAGAGAAACCTGTAAAAGTTCGCTTGCGAGTTATTTAGAAGATTTTTGCTCGTAAAACCAGATACTATCAAAATGAAACAGAATGATATTCCATAGGATGTGATAGGGGCACTTCAAAGGTGGTGTAATGGTTAGCAAAACATGTCTGGAGACATCAGTTACATTCTATAGTGAGTTCGATCCCAATGGGTATCCTACACTTCCGTTCTTGTGCCACATCTAGGCTACGCTTAGAAAACCACTT